ATAGAATATAATTTCTATGAAAACATCTGCCCTTTGAATGTTTATTTCATTGGTGTAGCTATTTTTTTAAGTTTCTACCTCATCTTAAATTCTTTGTTCAAATGTTTTTGTCCTTTTTTTTCCTACATACCTGTTCTCTTTTGAATTGGAGTATTCTGGAAGTGAGAGCCAGAAAAGTTTTCTCTGTACCTTTTGATTATCACAGGAGTAATGTCACAGTTCACAGGGCCAATGTCAGAACCAAATTATAAATATTTATTTTCTCCTGCCAACTGAATAAGTTTTTGGTGACCTATGATACCCATTTATTTCCTTTACATTGATATGTAATTTGCATACCATAATAGTCACCATTCACTCATCTGTTTGTGTTGGGTATTTTGTTTTGTATATCATGGCTTTCTTTATTTAAGGATATTACATAATTAAGCTGGAATGTCAGTGACAAGAATCCTGGGAAGGGAAGAGGAGGACATGATACTTCTCTGGCTCTGTGGTCTTTTGTGGGCCAGTTGGTAAACCTTGCTAGGTCTCAGTTGCCTCCTTTATTAAATGAGATGACTAATCAAGTGATTACTGAGATTCATGCCAGCTCTGAAATAATTCTCTTGCTTTATGATAGCCATTTGGTTGAACAAAGCAAATGGATGATTGCAGTAGCTCAGTTATCACTACATGGCATGTCTTCAGCAGGAATACCTTCATTTACCTTTAAATAGCAGAATACCTTGATTATCCAGTTGAAATTGTTATTCAGCTTTTGTGTAGCAATGTAGAATGGTATTTGCATTGATCTTTTAAAAACTGCATTTCCATGATTGCATGTGTGCTGATTTTAAAAATTGTCCTTTAACTGACTAGAGAATTATATCTATTAAGCTTAAACTTTGTAATCAGCCCTGGCCGGTTTGGCTCAGCAGTTAGAGCATTGGTTCGTGGACCAATGAGTCACGGGTTTGATTCCGGTCAAGGGCATGTACCTTGGTTGTGGTTTGTCCCTGGCCCTGTTTGGGGTCATGCGGGAGGCAGCCAGTCGATACAGTCGATATGTCCTTCTCACGCTGATCTCTCTCTCTCTCTCTCTCTCTCTCTCTCTCCCCCTTCCACTCTATCTGAAGATAAAGGGAAAAATATCCTCAGGTGAGGATTGCAAAAAACCTTGTAATCATTTTTTAGAGCAGCACTCCACTTGGATTTTCTTTCTTAATAAATTGACTTTGTCACACGTGGTCATGTGAAATAATATATATTTTTAAATCCTCACCCAAGGATATTTTTTTATTTATCTTCAGATAGAGTGTGAGGGAAAGAGAGGGAGAGAGAGAAACATTGATGTGAGAGAGACACATCGATTGGTTGCCTCCTGCATGACCCTGACCAGGGCTAGGGACCGAACCACAACTGAGGTACGTGTCCTGGGCCGGAATCAAACCCACAACTCTTTGGTCTCTGGGCCAATGTTCCAACGGCTGAGCCAGATCGGCCAGGGCTTAAAAATTATTGTTCCATGTTTGTTCATGTGCTCCCTAAATTTTCTTGGGAACAACTTTCTGTGCTTTTTTAGTTTCAGTCTTCCCTAACTGTTAGCTGATTTATTGTTTTTGACAATGTCCTGAAACATAAATGTCCCACAGTCTGATAAAATTATCATTGGGCTCCTTTGCAGAGGTACTTTATAAAGCCAGTGTTTAAGGTTTACTCTGACCTCAGGAAGGTTCTTCTCAGCTCTCTCTTCCCCTTTTCCATTTTGTTAAACTTCTAGCTGGTCTGCCTTTTACCTATTCCTATCATGGAACTACCAGCCTCCTCTTAATTTCTCGCCACAAAAATCTCAACTTTTTGACAGTGCCCGTAGTTTTGAACTTCCCCATGCTATGTTCCATATCAAGTCAGACCCCTTATGGAGAGCTGCAGAGTTCTTTGTTCTTACAGTGTGCCTGTCCTCCTAGGCAGAGCCTCTGCACCTATGCTCCAGAGCTGGGGGTGGGGATTAGCAACCTGCCTCTCGGAGTGAGTAGCAACCCTGATCTTCTCAGCTTGCCTCTGTTGGCATCGAAACTTTGCCCTATGTGAGCTGGGACAAAGATAATCAGGGCATAGTATTCTTGGTCTGCTTTGCCTAGAGTAGAGTTTCTGCCCTAGAAGTGGGAACTGGGTAGAGAAATGGGACCCTGGTCCTCTATACCACACTTGCCTGGAATAGAGCTTCTACAACATAGGGCTGTAGTGAGTGAAAATGCTGGTAGTCTGACCTTACCAGGGGAAAACCATCATCCTAGAGCAGAGGTTAGGGGTGAGAGGGAGCCCCATATTCTTGGCTATACCAACCCAGAGTAGAGCTTCTGTCATTTTGGGCTGGAGGGTAGGGAAGGAGCTGGTTATAGCTCAAATGCTAGTCTCATTGTTCTTACCAAGATTTAGTAAACTTTCTTGAATAAATGTTTCTCTATTTGCTATATGCTCTTAAGGAAATTTATAGTGACTTTACATGTTTTTAAAAAATAATTTTTACCAATTATGGTTCTTTTTTCTGGGGAGAGGCTCTGAGGAGCTCCTCATACTTCTAGTGTAGCTCTAACTTTTTGAAAATAGCACACTCCATTTCTTCAAAGATATTTTACCTTCTAGACTTCACTGATCCACACGTACCTTTTCTCCTTCTTATTCTGAAATACAAAGACTTTTTATGCCACAAATTCAACCAATTTAAGGTAGAAGAACAAACAGTTAACTTCTGAATGTATAAGTGACATTTAATGTAATTTAATTTACTTCAGCAATATAGCTTTCTTGTTACAGATGAAGGATAACTTTGTCTCTAACTTACCAAAACCTTACTTTGCTGGGAAATTTGAGTCTGTCTGAGAATTTAAAGACATAACCTGGAAGGAAAGGGTCTTTGTTTCTCTGGTGTAGGAAATTCCCAGTGATTGCTAAGAAAGCTATGAGCCTTCTTTCTACTGTGCCCCTCTTATCACCCACACACCTGAATTTTTGCCACTTTTATTTATAACACATGGGCATTTGTATTTTCATGGGTTTAACCCCAATATCTGGTGCCCATAGGGACAGTCTCCACCTGCTATTTTGCAGCAGAGTAAGTATTCTCAGAAAATCCTATTTTCAGGAACAAGAGAACATCAGGAAGCTTAGTATAAGACAAGGGATGGACTGCCACCTGCTTTTGTATCACCTGTGAACTAAGAATAGTTTTTACATTTTTAATTACTGCAAAAAATCAGAAAATGAAAAATATTTCATGACATGTGATAATATGAAATTCAGATTTATGTCCATAAATGAATTTTTATTGGGACAAAGTCATGTTCATGTGTTTATGTGTTGTCTGTGGCTGCTTTCTTTCATGCTACAATGACAGAGCTGAGTAGTTGCAATAGAAACTGTATGGCCTACAAAACAAAAAATATTTACCATTTGGCCTTTTATAGAAAAAGTTTGCTGACCCAATCTAAAATATGTTTGAGTGGAACAGCACTAGTAATTTTTTTTCTTAACAAAATATTTTAGGGCCTAAAATCATGTCTCAACAGAGCTATAGATGCCCAACAAGGTACAAAAGAGAGACAGAGTTTCAGGACAATTATTTATGTTTTGAGTTCAGGTAGAAATGAGAATGCCATGTGTCTTTGTGTAAATAAATCTTATTCAAAAGGAAATCTTAAAAATGTATGTCACATGTGTATTTGTAAATAAATAATTCCCCGGTGTTGTAAGTTTTCCCAAGTCTTCTGTTTGATATAAGATCATAGGATTCTGATAGTTTTCTCTGTAATTTATGAACTTAACTTAGAAGAAGCTATATTCCTTATTTGAATTCTCATTCTTGGAGAAAGTGTGTTTCCCAAGGTATGTCTACATTATGTCAAAATACCTAAATAACTCTCCATTAGTTTAGTTTTAAAAATTAAATGCAAAAAGTCAGATGAATTATTTCTGGCACCATATAAATTATTTAAAACTTAGTGAAGGGATAGGAATTTAAAAGTTTGACATTTTGAGCTAGTTGCTTTTATGACAATGTAGATAAAAGATTTACTATGATATAAGAATGTCATATAAAAAAGTATTTTAACCCTCCCATGTGTTAAAAATTAAGCATTGATTTAGTATACTTTAAAGGTAGTCTTTATGCTTTACAAAGGATCACAGTTCACATTGTAATTATTCCATAGAAAAAATATATTCTTTTACCTGTGTATTATTTTACAAGATTTTTTGTTGTTGTTGTTAATCTTCACCTGAGGATATTTTTTTCATTGATTTTTAGAGAGAGTGGAAGGGAGGGAGGGAGAGAGAGAAACATCAATCGATTGCCTCCTGCATGACCCCAGGGTCGGGGATCAAATCTGCAACCCAGGTACATGCCTTTGACCAAAATCAAACCCAAGATCCTTTGGTACATGGGCTGACACTTTAACCTCTGATCCAAACCGGTCAGGGTGACAATATACAAATTTTAAACAGATCCCTTTTCAAAACATCTCTGAGACTAATCATATTTATCAGTATCTGCTTCTTGCTTAACAATTTTTACTCAACAAAGTTTATAGTTCACTTGTGGTTAAATTATCAAATAATATGGCTTTTCCATTGATGCTGAAAAAAAAGAAAATATGCCTTTACACTGCAATTCTTGGTTATCAGTGGGTTCAGGTTCCCTCTGATTTGGAAGGTAGGGACATGTAATGAAACGATGTGACTTCCAAGACTTCAAACTCATAAAATCTCTGCCAGTGAAGTTCTGAGACATACACAGGTCAGTTCAGCATTTAAAACCAAATTTTTGTTGTACATCCATGTGTTAGAGCTTGCAAAATTGAGTGGTTTCCTGTTCTGTGCCTAATGGGTTCATAATTATATTGCACAAGTTGTGATGATACTTAGGCATTTTTCTCCTTTTCTGTCCCACCAGGTTCCAAGTCCACAGCTGTGCTTCTGCATCAATTGCTTTCTGAAACCTTTTTGTTTCTTTTTTCCAGGTATCTGGTGGAAATTATTATTTCATCCCATACATTGTGACACCGTGTTCTGATTATATTTGCCGTGAGAGTGATTTCCAGAGGCGTGCCTCAGAGTACATGCTACCCAACTGGGACGCCATGCTGGGTCCCTCGCGTGTGTCCTTGATTGACAGGTTCACTAGCCTCCTCAAGGACATCCACATGACCTCATGGTAATTCCCTTCAGCCTTCACCGACCCTAGGAGCTTTGCCACAGTCTTCCCTTCACGTTTATGGAGGTGATACACCTTCAGAAAACCAAAGTGTCTGGAGAATGGGGAACCTCTGCCAATCATTTTTAAGTCATCCTGGAATCCATTGTTGTTTCTTACTACATCACTGAGTTAGGCCATTGAGGTGTAGCCAAAAGTGAATAAAACTGAAGTTAAGAGGTCAAGGTTGAGCCTGTGTCTTGCCTCAACTCTGCGTGACTTTGATAACTTCTCTGTAACCATTTCTCATGTAGATAATAAGGAAGTTAAGCCACTGATTTTTTTAATGCTCTGAGATTGTGTTTTAAGATCATTTCTGAAGATGATTTTCTCCCCCTTCCCACCCCAATCAATTACTGAGGTTGTTAAAATGCCTTAGCAAGGTCATTCCAACCACAAATTGTGCTGTAAAAGTTAGGATGCGCTGAGTCCAGCTGAAGCCAACCTGACCTCAAGGATGTCCTGTGATGTGTTCTTTGTAGATTGATATTGGAGAAGGTGGGGAATACTGATTCAGAGATGGGCAGGTTTGGGTTTGAATCCTAACTCAGGCTATTTCTCACTGTGTAGCCTTATAAAAGTCAGCCCACTTAGTTGTGCCTCAGTGCTCAAGAAACCAAACTTGACAGAAAAATGATTCTGCTTAACCAAAGAATCCTGTTATTTTGCTTGCAGCCAATTTAAAGGATTTACTCCTGTAAGTTATGTCATAAGGAGAAGGATTTTTCCTTTCAAAACAAATGAAAATCTGAAGCACTGGCTGAACAGACTTAAAATGTAAAGGACCGCATGTCCCACTTAGGCTCAGATCATGGCTCCTTGAACTGTGGAGTGTCACTACTGTAGTATTGGTGTAAGGTACACAGTAGTAAATAGTCTGTTCTCTTTTCCTACCCTATCACCTTTTCTCAGGATACAGTTTCCTCTACAGACTTTATGGGACAAGAAGACTGAAGGCCTGGCCTGGTAGTTCAGTTGGTCGGATCTTTGTCCCAATGCACCAGGCTTTCGGGTGTGATCCCGGGCCAGGGCACAAGCAGGAAGCAACCAATGAGTGCATGGATGGATGGATGGAGCAATGAAATCATTGTCTCTCTCTCTCTCTCTCTCTCTCTCTCTCTCTCTGCCCCCCTCTACCTTTCTCTCTCCTTTCACTCTCTAAAATTAATAAATGAAAATTAAGAAAAAAAAAAAAAAAGACAAAAGAGACTGGAAACCTAGACAGATGTGACCACATGCCAACATAGAAAGCAAATGGAGAACTTCTGTGGCACATTCCTGGAAAGCCTCATTCAGTCACACCTTGCTAATTATTGTCTTATTACATAATGAATATTTTAGTGAAGTTTAGGGAGAAAGCTCTCCCAGTATCGTCTTTTCAGGTCTAGCAAAGAGGTAGGCTAGCTTGAATCTGCTAGATGAACAAAGTCTTTTCAAGAAGTGGACTCAAGTTTGTTTCTCATTCAGTGTATATATGTATCAGTAGGAAAACAACTCTTGATTTGGTTTAATTTTAAAGGATTTGAAATACCTGTTGGTTGATTCCACACCTTGAACTGACAGATACCTGACAATAGTTAGTGAGAAAGGTAAATGGTGCTAATGGTTTAAAAATATCTATAATGAGGATGGCAAAGTTTTTAGCTCAAGTGCCAACTCCTAATCGGTAAAGGCTGCCTGGAGCCCTGTGCTAAAAAGAAGGGGTTGGAAGTCATTTCTACATTTACATTAATTAGCAACATCTTCCCTGGTTCCCAAAGGTAGAAATGACTACGTGCTTATTACGTATGTAATGTCCTCAAGCCATACTCAATTTGATGTTTTGTTTGTTTATTACAAGTTACTCTTCTTTTTAGGTTTCTTAGTTATTAAAACTATTTTTCAGAATTACCTTTGAAAACAAGACTAAACTCAAGTGTAACTTTTTACTTGTCAGGCTAAACTAATAGTGCCTTAATAGCTTTGATTCCTTTATAGTCCAAATGAATAATGGCTGTCATCCAAGTTAAGGACTCACTAGATTAATAATAGAATTTTATACTCAATAATATAATTTTAAACATTGGTAGAATCTGCTAATTTGCTTATCATTGGGGTAAGAAGCAATAGACAAATAAGGAAATAAGAGATTAAAGAAATGCACTGATATTTTTATATCAGAGTGCTTTCTGTGGAGCATCACTTCATTCTTTAAATGTTTTTGAATTGTTGTTATAAGCATTGGACCAGGCTGTGTATTGTATACACATTTATTTGGCATAGTTTTATAATTATTAAATATAAGCAACAATTGTTCTTGCGTATTTCTCTTTTTCTGAATACTATTATTTAATTGAGCTTATTACATTTTTTAAATGAACAGTCTAATTTTACTTTCTCTAGTTAAGTCATTTTAGCTACTTAATGGATTGCCATTATTACTGCTTGGCAATGCTCAGTCTCCATTTAAAAATTACTTGGAAAGTGGACAATAAATTTAAATAACTCTATGGTCATTATAAGTCATCCTGGATGCATGGAGATGCAACCTGAGGTTTTTATGTTTCCCTCTCTAGTGTTTATTACAAAGAAACCTTGTTAAATAAGATCCGGAGAGCCAGAGAGAAATATGAGGGCGATCAACTGGCAAAGGAGCTGTCTCGGATCAAACTCAGCATAGATAATACTGAGATTCTGACTTCAGACATCGTCATTAATTTACTGCTGTCCTACCGCGATATCCAGGTATAAAATAATGCTTACCTGAGGCTAACACATGCCGAGTTCTTCCTTGGCATGAGGAATTCCTCATATGAAGTACTCTTATACTAGTTGCACTGTTACATGACTGTTTTATAGACAAAATAGGTATGTGGCTAGGTCATGGGTCACCCACTATATCTGTTGTGGTGGAAATATCTGAGAAGGTTTTGTCATATCAGATAGCTACTCCAACAAAATCTCATGTGTGGTGCTGCTCACTAAAAGAAATGCAGAGTTTAACAGTTTATATTCACTTTATGCTAGGCATTGTTCCAAGCCCTTTGCAAATCCTAATTCATTTAATATTCATTGCAAGCCTGTGGGTTGAATACTCTGATTATCCCCATTTTACAAACGAGGAACATGAGGCCCAGAGAAGTTAAGTGACTTGCCCAAGGTCACACAGCAGTTGTTAAAGTCATGGTTCAAACTGAGGCAATTTGCTCTTAATGCCTCTGCTATGCTGCTTCCTTTAGGCCTTTGTCACTTCTCTCTTTGTTTACCATCACCCAACAGTGACATGGAGAGCAAGAGTAGCTGATGCATGTCCAGGACCCAGGGAATGAAGATATTTATTCTAAGACAAGTGTCAGAGACTTCTGGAGAGTTCCTGAGACAGGATTTGTGGGATGCAGTACCATGAAGGAAATTGGATGTGTCCTCCCTCCAAGTTTAATGCTGTTGAGCCATTTCTAAGAATGTCTTACCTTCCTTTCTTTTGGAGGAATGTACAAAGGCAGTGTGCCTTATCTACATGATTCCATAAAGCCATATGGGAGATTGTTGGGTAGAGGTCTAAATCTAAACACAAGAGGCATCCATTTAGGACCTCAACCAAGAACAGAGTCAGTCACTAAGGAACTCATGTCCCTAGTGATAAACAGATCCATGTAATTGATTTTAATAGGATTTTAGCGATGATTAAATTATACCCCATGGGACAAGAGAATGGAAATGACCATTTTTGAAGTCTTTCTTCCTGAGCTGCTGGCTTCCTCCTGTCCTTGCCTTTACACATTTCTTCTTTTTGTAACCTTATGTTAGTGGGACTTTCAGGCATAAAGGTGAGCCAGAAGCTTCTTGGAATACACTTTCCTTGGGTGGCTGCATTCAGGTGCAGAGCCACAAAATAGGCATGGGATTTCAGTGGGAAGTCCTCTGCTAACTGGCTCTCAGCAGGTTGGCCAGTAACAGTGATTCTAAGCTTGGCTGAAAGGGTACCAGATGGTACTGCTCAGAGGGGTCCCAGCTGAGACAAACATGGTAGCAGTTTTTCCATAGGTGATTATGCAGTTTAGGGCAGTGGTTCTCAACTAGGGAACGTGTGGCAGTGTCTGGAGGTATTTTTGGTTGTCACATCTCAGAGGGGGACGGGTGCTTTTGGTATCTAGTAGGTAGAGGCCAGGGATGCTGCTTAACATTCTACAATGCACAGAACAGTGCTCCACAACAAAGGATGATCCAGCCACAAAATGTCAATAGTGCCATGGCCGAGAAATCCTGGTTTAGATTAATTCGTTTCTGGCAAAATAGGAAGGACTGGGATGTTTCTTCCCTTTATGTGTCAAGCGACTGCAAGATTTCTTGTATGTTTATGTCGTTCATTTTAATCCACAGCTGTTCTGGTGGTGGTAACTCTCCTGCACTCAAAACATGGTACCTTTTTTCCTGGCTGCTGGGTTATAAGTAACTTCACTAAATGCTATCTGTAGGGAAAGGCTTATATTTAAATGCTGAGGCTATTTCATGTTTATAACTTCAGAAAAATCTGTGAAGATCTGTGTTTCTTCTCTTTCTCACCTTGGGACCTCTTGCCAACAGGACTACGATGCAATGGTGAAGCTGGTAGAAACGCCGAAAATGCTGCCTGCATGTGATTTGAGCGACCAACATAATATTAAATTCCACTACGCATTTGCACTGAGTAGGTAAGGATGATAATGTGTGTATAGAGTTTTGAAGCAAGCCACCTGTTAAATTCTGCTTCCTTCATTTACTCAGTGCTCACTGAGTAGAAGCTAGATCATGTGCTCAATGCCAAGGTTATGAAAATGGGCAAGATCTTGGTCTTCAGGAACTTTGTCTTTGGAACATATATTCTGTGAGATTAGCCATGTAACTTAATCTTGCTAGTTCAGAGCAATAAAGGTCTTAATGAAGGTTGGTCCAAAGCACTATGGAAGCGTAGCAGAAGGAGGAAGTAATTCTGCTTGGGCATTTTCTGGGGTCTTTTGGGCAGGGATTTGAAGACTCAGTAAGAATTACCTCATGGGCAGGAAAGAGTGTGGGATAGGAGTGGTGAAAAAGCCATTCCACTTGGCCAAAACAGAAGAGGAAGCATAGAGTTCTTCATGGGAGGTGTGTCTTCAGGGAACAGTCAGTGTGACCAGAGAACACAAGTTGCAGATGAAGCAAATGCATGCAATGAGGCTCAGTGAGGGTGAGACCGTGTCTTGAAAGGACCTTGTATGCATGACTGAGTTGATAGTATCTTGTAGACTGTGGGGTACCAGTTTAAGCAACAGGATTAATATTGTGTGATAGGAAAAGAGGGTGTTGTCTTCATGTACTAGTATAATCTGAACTTTGGAATACAAATAACTGGGCTATGTAGAGTATGTGAGACTTGGGAATTCTGACCTGGGGACCATGATTCTCAAAAGCTTACATGCTAGGGGTATTAGCTAAGCTGCTGTAATAAAGGGAGCCCAAATGCAATCCTTTAAATTAGATTACAGTTTCTTTTTCACATAGCAGTCTAAAGGTAATTGGATCAAGCTAGTGGCCTAGTACTGTTCCAGAGGTTGATCAGGGACCTGTCTTCTGACCGTTTTGTAGCTCTTTCATTTCTGAGTGTTGTCCTCTTTTTCCAGTTGAAGCTCAGTCATTGGTACTCTGTGTTCCAGTCTGTGGAAAGGGGGAAAGAATTGAAGTCCAGGGCAAGCAATTTCCTTTAAACCAGTAGAATTTGCACATGCCACTTCTACTCACATTCCATCGGTGAAAACATAGTTGCATGACCCCATCTAGCTGGTAAGGGAAGCTGGAAAATGTAGTCTCTAGCTGGGCAGCCATGTGCACATCCAAACTCGGCTACCATGGATTTGGAGGATATATAGGAGTTTGCTGTAATTCAACCTCACAAAATCCCAAATGCCTAAATGTCTTAGTCCTACAGTCTCCGTCCTGCCTTGATAAAATGTAGGAATAGCACTAGGAGACTGCGGTGAAAACCATGCCCAGTTACACTTCACACCAGGCCTGTCCTCTGCTGGGGCCAGGAATGGTGATACTGAATCATACAGCAAAAAACTCTGGGAGGGTATTAAAACTTGGCTTGAGAGCCAAAGAGTTCTGTCAGCTCCTCAACCTTCCATGGCCAACGTCTTCCACAAGGAATGAATAAAGTGAGGGTTGCAGTTGACCTGAGTTAGAGGACTCTAGTGTCTGGTTTCTCAGAGGTTTGGCTTTGCTTCTGCAGCTGGATTAGGTTACAGACTATGAGCCTGGCACTGGCAGCATCTGCAGGATAGCAGCAACACAAGCTTCAGGAGTCTCATGAAACATTTTAGGTCACATCTCTATCTTTTATATTGAAGTAAAATGTATATGCAGTGAAATGCATAAATCTTAAGTATATAATCTGATAAGTTTTGATAAACCGATATTCCATGTAAACGTCACCTCTATCAAAATATAAAATATGTTTATCCCCCAAGAAAGTTCCTTTGTGCACCTTTGCAGGCAATCCCCACCCCTCCATAGACGACCACTGTTGCAACCTCTGTCTCCATAGATGAGTTTTTCTTGTTCTTGAACTTCATCTAAATGGAATAACACAGTATTTACTCTTTTGTGTCTGGCTTCCTTCACTCAGTATTGTGTTTGTGAGTTCGTCCATGCTGTTAGATGTATCAGTAATTCATTCATTCTCATTGCTGTGGAGTATTCCATTGTATGGAAATGCCACAATTGATTTCTCCATTTTATTGCTGGTAGACCTTTAGGTTGTTTCCAGCTTGGAGATACTATGAACATGCTGCTAGGAACATTCGTGTGCATGATTTTTGTACACAGATGGACATATTTTTGTTGGGTATATAGATTATACATGTGTCTTACTGTAGTCAACACTGACAAACAGTGGTAGTTAGGATTTTGATTCCTTTGGAAGGGGTAAGCTTTATGGTCTCTGTGAAAAATGTGTCTGCTCTCTCCCCAATGGTCTTTAAACTCAACATTCCAAAGTAAGGAGTGTTGGGAAGGGCATCTTCATTAAGACTGGAAAATAAAGTCCTATAACTCTTTTCTCTCAGATAGTGGTTCTACTTTTATTTATACTTAATTATACTTGATTGACAAGGATTAAATAAGTTGTCACTGGTGAAGTTCCTGGAAGAATGCCCAGCACACTATAAATGCCATTTAAAAAAAGTGCCATAAATAAAAATTAAGAGGGCCATTTAAGTCACTCACCATCATGTCCTTTTCTAGACATAGTAGAGGTAACTGTTGTCAAACAGAATGAAACAGCATGATTATAATTCACTCAAAGTAATAAAAGAATAAAACAAGTGTTGAAAAGGAAAATCAGTATCTAAAAGAAATGGGTGCAGCAGGGTAAAGTGATCCCGAGACAAATATGCTTCCAAATTGGAAATAGAATGGCTGGATTTGCACACCAGAGAGTCAGCTTTCTCTCTGACCATGGGTCTTTTCCTTCTCATCTGATTGTCCCTTCATAGACAGTGGCTCTGTATTGTAGTCCAGGCAGGGCCCTCAGTGCCAAGAGCCTAATTTTCTCCAACCAGCTAGGGATTTTCTAAATAATTACAATAATTGCTTCATTTATACATGGACTCTGATCCTGAATTTCACATCTTTGCTGTAGGTATAACTTGGCCAGCTGTCAGTATGGTCACAGTAGGATTTGGCATTATGTACAGTTTTGAGGAAGTTTAGGGAATTACTTTGTACTGAAAGAGGAGAAAATAGTGATGAGCAAGTAGTGCTTTTTCCTGCATTACAGTTGATTTCTAACTCTTAGAAAGTGGAGCAAATCATGTCCATAAATTATTTACTAAAGGTTGGCAGTAATGAATGATGTTTGGTCCTCAGATGGCAAGGGCTCCCTGTTATTAGAAAAGCTGACTTGAGCCAGCCAGTTTTTCCCGATAGCTTCCACTTCACTGCATTCAGAAGCCCATTCAGGACTGCTTCAGGTTTCCATTGAGCAGTTAAATGGCTTGCCTCTCAGTGGCATGAAATCCTTTATGAGCAATTTTTATTTGCTGCTGCTTTTACAGACAGGATTATATTAGATATGCTAATGCAACCCAAAGATTCTGACGAGGGATCCAGGCACCAGGAAAAGAATGGTCTGGAAGAATAACGGAATCAAAGTCCTAGGTTAAAAACAACAAAGCTTGCATGTCACAAAATTAGAGTGTACTCATTTTACTTCCTGCATCTTTGGGTCAAGATCTACTCAAGCAAAATTCAACTCATTGAATTACTCAGCAAGTGGAGGGGAAACTGAATGCATGGCATATTTATGGAATATCTGATGTATCACACTAAAAGTAAAGTTAAAGTAAGTGATGGAGAGGGGAGGACACTCTGTGGGCCCTAGAAATGTGTGCAGAGAAGATATTAGACTAGATGATTCCTTGTAAGTTCACAAATTTTCTGGTTCTCTTCGTGGTCAGGAAAACAATCACCATAAATATGTATCCTTCTTTTGCAACATTGTTTTAGGTACTTGGAGACAAATACACTTTAAAAATGGGGAGATGTCATCATTTCTGTACTTTACAAACATGTAATAAAGAATGTCTATTTATATAAACATATAGATTAAGATAGTGAGATTGAACAGTGAACATAAACAGAGGAAACAAAGAAAAGGAGGTTGGTGGTTACTGCAGAGACAATGAGACCACACTGTCCTGGGGATATGTGTCCCTCTACCCAAGCAATACCCTGCCTGGATAGCTTAGAGGCTGAGACTGAGATGACTGTTGTAACAAGAACAAGCTTGCAGCCCCTCTAGCATGGGCTGGATTCAGTAGCATTCATCTAATATCTTCTCTGCACACATTTCTAGGGCCCGCAGAGTATCTTTCTCTCTCCATCACTCACTTTAACTTTACTCTTTGATCCAAGGGCTGACACTTTAACCACTGAGCAAAACCGGCCAGGGTTGTACTTCATTCTTTTTTTTTTTGTTCAAAAAGAGTGGGAGGGAGAGAGATGGAGAGAGAGAGAGAGAGAGAGAGAGAAACATCGACGTGAAAGGGACACATCGAGTGGCTGCCACCCGCACGACCAACCAGGGCCGGGGACAAACTGCAACCGAGGTACACACCCCTAGCAGGAACCGAACCCAGGTCTCTCTGGACCACAGGCCAACGCTCTAACTGCTGAGCCAAACTGGCCAGGGCTGTACTTCATTCTTTTGATGGTTGAATAATATTCCATTGTATCAGTATACCATATTTTGTTTATTCTTTGGTCAGTTGATGGACATTTGAGTTATTTTTATTTTTTGGCAATACCAGGGAGGTTTGTATGAGCCCGGTCAGGAAGTCATGTTTGTTACTTCTTAGCACATTTCATTGGCTAAAATTCAGTCACAAGACCCAACCTAACTACAAGAGAAGTTGGGAAATGTAATATGGCTGAGTGCCTAGGAAAAAATTAAATTGGGTCTAGTGAACACATTATAGTCTCTACTACAACTTGCAAAATAAGGAGTAGAGTTTAACGGGATCCATCCATATAGAGATTCCTGGGAGCATGTCAGATAGCAGAACCAAGAGTTCAAGCACAAATACACTTCAGCTCCTGTTGCCTTTAAGAGTGGGAAAGCCAGCCTGAGAAATGCTCAGCTCCACAGGAGAGCTTGCCAGCCTACTGTGGAGCCCAG